TCGTTGTTTTAAATTGGAAATATTATGAGTTTTAAAATAAGAAAACAAAAAAAATCAAGTGAAATTAATACAAATTTTATCTAATTATCTACAGATAATCTTTTTATTTATCTAGATAATATAGAAAGATAATTTGCATTTAAATTATCTAGATACGTTTTCATAATATAGCACTCATTTGTATTTTATACGTATTATGTAAGATACAGTTTCCTCTCAAAATAATCTGCTTAATTTCAACAAATAAGATTAATACTGTCAACTAAAATTATTTATTTTAAATTTCGCATATTATCTTACTATTTGGTATTTTCATAATGAATTTGAATAATGTATAATTAACCGTAATAATATTACGTGTTTAGCGAACATCTGTATTTAAAATCTAAAATTTATAACATCTAAAATCGTTAAATAACGATTGTGTGTTGATGACCAAGTTTTTCGTTAATGTAAGCTTTCTTAAAGTCTACGTACATACAATTATGGTAAACATATTTTAGGTACATATTCTTTTCCGAAATGGGTATAAGCCGCGCATATACGGACGGTTCGAATCTGATCAAGTTGGGCAGCCACAGTCAGAGATGGCCCAGAGGTTTGGCTTTGGATTTTGCTACGGACCGACTGTACTGGTGCGACGTATTGTCTGAAAAAGTCCAACATTCGAATTTGGACGGGACGGATGTGAGGGATATCATATCGACTTCGATTCGTAGTCCGTGGTTGATAGCCACACATAAAGGTATGCTTGTTGGTAATTTACTTGATTTGGGCAAAGGCCGTATTTAAGCATTTTAAATAAGCCCCATTCCTCCAAATAATGTTTTTCAATTCATAATATATACCTAATAATGAACAAAAGCCAGTGACTTAATGAAAACAATTATTAACTCGAGTTAAATTGTGTGAACCCAACATCGTTGTACCTAAGTTAAAAGTTAATATTTTAATCAATAAATTTAACTTGTAGAGTTCAAAGTTAATTTGGAGAAGAAAATTCACTTAGTTTAGTAAAAGTTTATCAGCTTTTTTAATTGGAACGTGGAGCACATAATACAAAAAAGTATAATGTGCCCATGTATAATATATTAAATAAAATATTTTTTTATTTGTATCGAGAAGACAAGGAACATAACTGTCATTACAGTGTTGGATTATTTGTATTTAAAACCATACGCCTTCGATACAGTAGTTAACTTACTAAACATGCGAGTTCAGCCACACTTCGTTCAACACATTGTAAAAACTCGAAACTGTTGAATCAAATTCTCTAAAATCTAAATCATTAAAATGAGATTCTCCCCCCGCATTAAGTACGGCCTTGCAGAATTCGGTCGCGAGTCGTGCGACTGTTGCAGTTGCAGCTGGCGTCGGTGCAACGTGCTCAATTGGCTTTGATAAATTTTCCCATTCAGATTGGATGTACATCATCGATTGGGACAGAGACGCTATAATTAAACTGCACAAGCTGACCGGCGTCTTGGACAACATCGAGGTCCGGCAGCCGCGAAACTGGCTGATGGGCGTGAAGGTTTACAGCGAACACGAACAGCTGATCGACAGCAAACACCCGTGCTCGATGGCTGCCGGCTACGGTGGTTGCCAGAAGCTGTGTTTTGCAGTGCCGTTCAAAAAGTGGAGGACAACGCTGCTCAGGGCGCGTTGCGACTGTCCGTTCGGCGAGAAGGTTGACTGGGACGGTAAGACGTGCGTGGCCGACCCGGACGCCGAGTCGATGGCTTGTCCGAACACGCAGGACTTTGCTTGCAACAACATGCGGTGCATACCAAAGGTTTATGTGTGTGACGGTTACGACGATTGTCACGACAACTCCGACGAGCAACCGAACTGCACCAGAATTGCATATACAGAGCCCAGTCCGGCACCCACTGCGGTGGCGCCTGTGTCGGCAGGTGTTTCAAAATGTACAAAATATCGTTTTGTAATTACTGTGTCTTTTGTGCTCGCATACTTATTTACTGTTTAGTCATAATATATATAGCATTGTTTAGTTGACTATTACAGACTGCAGTAAAATAATAATATTTAATTTACTGAAATACTTAATAGAATATTCATGTAAGTTGGTAAATTTGTTATGAAATGCATTAAATTCATACAAATAAAATTAATTTAAAAATATTTTTGCGTTTTATAAGTCAGTACTTATTATTAATGTTTCTATCAACACAAACCACTTACAAACAGGTATATTTTATACATTTATAAATGTACTAAAAACAAACTTCGTATACAATATTACAACAATATTAAACCTTTAACCAATCTTTTAAAGTACTTTTGTAATGGTATTCGAACTGGTACTTGATTAGTACCTTATAAAATAAATATTTGTAACATCCTAGTATCTGTCACATAACGACTGTTTAAAATAAATTGTTTTTAAAAATGTTTTGTTTTTAAGGGGTATCATATTTAATGCATTAAAATCTATTTAAATGGAAATTGTATTAAAGGTCTCTCATAATTCATAATTATTTTTGAAGTATAATAAGTTTTTGTGGAATCACATATTTATTAAGTATATAAAGTTTTTTTTTTATAAGCATTTCAAGTTCAAGTCTTGACAATAAGTCGATATTTAAACGAAGGATAAATATATTCAATTTCAAATACCTATTTTAACAAAAAAAAAAATATGAGGGAGCTTAAAGCCTTTATGTACATTATTATATTTTAAACAAGCAACCCACAACGGCATTTTGAATTGTATATATGTACGAAATAAGTATTAGAATGAGAAATCCGAAAAAAAAAATAATAGTGTCCTAGCTAACATGGTTACGTTATTTTTATGGGCATAACTATGTACTTATATCCAAATTTTTGTTTAACACGTAGGCAAAGCACAAAATCCGTTCTCAGTCTATAAACTACCTACCTGAACAATTTCAGGCTAATAGGTCAAGTAGATTTGAGATTTCGTGAAAAAAATGCTAAAATTGTGATTTTCCGTTTAAATATTTAATTTTGTCAAAGTTTTTCATGACGCTCTTAATAAATACTAGCGATTTTCAAAATTACCTCTCGAAAACATAAACTAGATTCGAATTACCACCAAAAAAGTTACTTCAGATGAAAATTGAAGCAGTTTTATGAGTACTTATCTTGTACAGAGATACAAATAAATTAAAAAACATACATCATTGTAAAATAAATCCATTGATTCGGTCGGAATCTAAAACCAAAATGTTCAATTTATGGCAGTACTGACAATTTGTTTTAAAAAATGGTTGTTATCGTACGCTTCTGTGCCGACAGTTACCTCGACTTTATCGCAATAATATTATTATGCCGCAATATGCATCCAAAAATAAAAACACAAATTTAGCCGACACTAAATCTAACGACATCACCAAACTACAGTCTGCTCGCCTAAACAAAGTTTAAACTTCTGTCAACACTAATCACTTAGTCGACAATCAAGACGTGACCATGGAGAATTCGTAGTGCGGAAATTGGTCCATGGCACAGTCAAAAAAAATCCAAGTAAAAGAAATATCTCTTCATCTTCTTCCGAACAAAATTCGCCAAAAATACCAAACAACAAAAAATTATTTTTTACGTCTAATCGCTTTGAAGTGCTCTCACAAGATGATCCTCTACCCACTACTTCAACAAAATCTACTCCATCGATTTCAAATGA